AAACTAATTTATTGCATCCAGAAATATATACTTATCTCCAAACAGATTAATATTAAAAACTAGACATATGGTTTATCTCTATTGATTGTTTAATTATAAAAAAATAATTTTATTATAAATTTTTAATTTTTAATTTTGAAGCAACGCGATAAATGGCACGCTTTAAAAAGTTTTGCGTTAAGTGAAAAATTAATTTGCTGTGTAATTGAATTTATTTACTTTATATGGGATTGGGAAATTTATCAGTAAATTCCTTGTAATTCATAAAATTTACAATAAATTTAATCTTAAAATAACAACCTCCTAAAACCTTATAATTCATAGTGTTGGGACATCACCAAAAACTGCAAAAGGCGGTAATTTCTAAATTTTGAAGCAAGCACAGATGCGCAAAATCAATCATTACGTCCTAAATAATAATTTTTTTAAAAAAAAAAAGTTCTTCAAAAATGAAATCTTAAGCAAAATATCTTAAAATAAAATTTTTACTCGATACATACATTTTAAAAAATCACTTAGCTTCTTTAATTAAAATAATAATAAAAAAGAATCATCGGTACTTCCTTCATATTAAATATTTTAATTTTATTTAAAAAAAATTATAATCAAAAAATACTATATTCAAAATGTAATATGTTATGGATATTGTACGGTGTGTTATTTATATTGGTTAACGTCACTTTGTACGTTAACCAATGTAAATAATCACCGTACTTTGTATGTTATCGTACGGCTAAAGCAGATCATGATTAAAAGCTCTAAGATTTATTTCTAGTTGGTATCTTGTTAGTTAGTTTGGCAAATCTACAAGTAAACTTTCTCTTTGAAAAGTTCACAATTATTTCATGATTTTGTTCTCACCACATATAAAGGAGGCAAACCTCCTAAACTTACAGCCAGCATAGGACTAACCATATCAAATTTTGATTCAATATTTTGTTGTATGCACAGCCGCCTTTTTTTTTTACAGTCAATTTCAACTTGAGCTACTTTTATTATTTTCATCAATTTCTTTTGTTATTCTAAGATTATTATCAAACAAATTCTGTATGAAAATAATAATAGAATTTATTTAAAAATGTATTTTAATTACTAATTTTCACTATAAAATGAATACTTTCATCATCAAAGCAAATTTAATTTAATATATTCTTCCGCAGCAGTATTTTAATATAAAGAGCGATTGAAGCTATTGTATATAATTTATTTTTGCTTTATTCAAGTTGTCAATTCTCAACTTTTAAAAATGCAATTCCTTATTTAAATATTTTTTTTAGTTATTATGAATTTTTCTTTATATAGAGATGAGTTAATTACTACAAACTTCACGTAAACAATTGCAACAATCAATACTAACGATAAATCTTAAAAGTTACGATAAATAAAATATTAGATCATTAGTATATTAATTTTAAAAAGGCTATTATGAAATTCGATAATTAGCAAATAACTACTATTGTTTAATATTGTACGATTAATGCAAAGTAAAGTCTATTATAAAAAAATATAGGTCAAATAAACACAGCATGATCCTATAGGCCCGTGCGATCGGCTCATTTACTGTATATACTCTGAATGTAATCTTTTTTTAGTGGCGTATTGAATTAATTGGTAATTATAATAAGTTTTTCGCAATTTCATTCTTAAGTAATTATGATTGCTCAATCCTAAATTTGTTTCACAGCCAATCAAATGGAATCATTACTGGACCAATCAGTCATCTTCTTCCTCTGATAAAAAAAATGGTTCCAAGAATTTTATATTTTATAGTAATTAAATGAGAAAATTTGTTAGACATGCTGGCAAGTCAAACCATCGAATGATATACCTAGGTGATATACAACAAAAAAAACTGTCCGAGACATGAATTGTTTTAAAGCCAGATCATATAAAAAATAAATAATATAAAATAACTTTACAATTAATAAAAAATTTGTTTTCTAATTTGGTATATAAATTTATATTTTTTAAAAAAAAAATAATACAATAATTGTGTTAAACCATGATGGTTTTTTTTAAAAAAAATATATTATATTATTAGATCAATTCTACTAGTTGTATTGCGTTTGCGGTTGCAATTATCCACATATAATTATCGTCCGGTACGTAAACTTTTGAAGTTTTCTGGCATAATAAATCTTTATTGGAAGTGACTGTAATTATTTAAAAATGTTTGTTAAATATAGTATAACACATCTCAATGAATCCATAATCTCAAGAGTTCCACTTACAGGGAAGAATATTCACAGCGGATCTTTAGAAATACTCAACAATTTTCAATTTTTATTAGTGACTTTACCTCGGATAAACAATTCAACTAAAAAATGAATTAAAATAAAGCACAAGGTTAATCATTATCACCTAACCTAGAAGATTAGAAATTTCGCGATAATGAATCGATACTATCATGACTTGTTCATGCCACGTCATCATATCCTGCACTAGGCGAACAAGTCACAGTTTATGTACTAGGAATTTAAGCCTTAAAACCAACGGAGGCTCCTAGGTCCCTGAGACAGAGGATGACATGAGAACCAATCAGCGGTAACCTGGCCAGATTCCTCCCAGTACCTAATTTTGTCTATGGCTTGGGACAATGGTAATGCCACCAGGGAATACCGAATCAAAGCCCGAGGGACTACTGACATGCACTAAGTATTACGGTAGTTTACGACATGGAACATTCTATATTTGTAAGTATATCCGATGGTCTTTCATATATACAACAAAAGCACTTCTCGCCTTCGTACTTCATTTATTAATATTCGTTTTAAATAATAATAATAATAATTAGTATTAAAATGACGCATTCTACATATTTATTCCAAAATTATTGAAATGAAAGTTACAACTTATTGTCCAAAACTAAAATCAAGCGTTAGGTGCTTTCATAAATAGTTAGATTGTTGTGTTGGTAGATAAAAATTATGTTGAATAAAAAATACATAAATCACTCCGTTTTTTGTGAAAATATTATTCAATTTATTTTTTATAAAAGTTTTGACGGAATGTGAAGGTTTTATAACAGTATTTAAAGTAGTGAAACAAAATTATTTGTGAAAACGTTTAAAAATATGAGGAACAAATTGTGCATGACCGTATCACGTGATATACGATTCGTTAATCACGTTCCTGAAAAAAGTTCATATTATCTGTTGAATAATGTACATTTATTTTTTTAAAAAAAAATCACAAAGCATTAGTAAAGAACGAGGTAACATAATAATAATCAAGCCAATAGTTAAAACTTTGATATAGGTTAAATTTTAAACATAATTTTATATTCACAAAGAAGATATACTATACATTTATAATTACAAAATAAACTATTAGTCACCTTTCTGCTAGATTGAAGATTCTTGTAAATTGATAGGAGAATTGTTAACTGTCCATAAATAGCGATCATGATATATAAATTTGATTGATCATGAAGACGAAGGTTTGGGTGAAAAATTGCAGAATTCCTTACTTGTTTAATAAAACTTTGATTTTCAAATCTAATATAAATATATTTTCACATCTATTGCTCATGCTGGTAAAGGATATGCTCGATTTTATCAGGTATCAGAATGTTGAAGAACGCATTAAATATCAATAAAAAATATATTGAACTGATGCTGATTTCCTTAGAATCAACAGAAAAGGAAGAATACGAAGTGAAAAATTCGATTAATAAGCCTTTTATTACAAAAATGAAATTATTGAAAAGGGATAATGAATATTCAAGGAAATTATTTCCTCGTGATTGCGATTCTCGTTAACATTACTACTGACTACCTTAAACAAATGGTCTAGTTGGAATGAAACGTAATGTGCTAATAACATTTAATATAATAAAGATTCTTAAATACAGAAGCGTATATTATAGTAATTCAACCTTTTTAATTTGATGAATATTCATATTCAAATAAAAGTTTTAATTGATACATAAAATAAATTTTTTATTGTCTAGATAAACAAATAACGCACACGCAAACTTTTTAATTTATTATAACTATTACTAGTGTTACCATATTGTGCAACGTCCGTCATCAAGTTTGTTTATTTCGCTGCATTAAAATATGCATATTTGTTCTTCATGTATCGGAAGAAAAAAAGTTATATTAATATACGCCATAATTTATAGCGACGAAAGACCATAAAAAGGCACGTGTCATCGAGCAGCAATTTGCCGAAATCTAAAGAAATCAAATATACCAAGAGTTTCAATAAAAAAAGGTCATTTGATGTGATAATCTATTAAAATCTTTTTATTGGTATCAATCAAATTCGATTCTACTGTATAGCAGGTCCAAAGCCGATTCGGTTTAATTTTAAAATTTGTAAAAATGGTTCTAAACTCAGGTAAAATCAAAATCCGCTGATTCAGAATCTGTTACAAAACCTACTCTTGATTCGTTCTTTTTGAACTGTCCCCATCTCTAATTAAAGTTCACAACAAATTCACCGATTGATTCAATCTTATTATCTACACCTCTTTTTTTTTATCTTACATTAAGTTTACCACCAATGATATATAAATTCTAAACAATATCAAGCCGAATATTTATTAAACGAGCTATACTGATTTCGTGAGCAAACGAATAAAGATATTACCTTCTTTCGTCATCATGATTAAACCGACATTCCTTTAGTAGATTGTTCTAAACATGTGTGGGGAGCAACAAATTGCTGCTTAATTCGATATAGCGATCCTGCGATCCTGATGCTCATGCAAATTTATAAATTTATATGATGGATTATTATTTTATATATTATTTTTTGCGACAAACTGAACATAAAAATGGTTTACTTGCAACATTTATAAATCTAAACAACTCATAATATATTTTTAAAACATTCAATAACACTTTAAATAAATACTGAACCAAATTTTATTAAAATATTTATTGTACTCTTTGATTGTATATAAATAATATGAAGAAAATAATAATAAAAAATGAAATTTGTCAATAAAAACTTAATTTATCAAATATTTATATAAAAGTATATTGAGCTTCCTAAATTTCTGTGACTTTGCTTATTGATTGCATTAATATTTTATCAATCTTACTATTAACCTCATCTATCTTTTTGTTCAGTTGAATATTAAAATCATTAAGTTCGGTAATCTTATTATTAAATTCATTACCTTTGATACAAATGTCTTCTTCATTTTCCTTTTCACTTTCAGAACTATCGTCATCATCGGATAAATTATAACCATCTTCTTTAGTAAACAAAAATCTATCATCATCTATTTGCTTATATGATAGTTTTCTTTCAACTATTTTTTCTTCATAATCATCATATAAGTTTTTCTTCTCAGTTTTTTTAACATTCGCATCCCAATCCTCATAACTTTTTGATTTACCTATATAATAAATATATTTTGGTTCGGGTGACGGGGGGTAGAAATAAATTTCATCCAAAGCCTCATAATCTGAAATTGATTCTGCACGAAATCGTAATAATGCAACACGACCTTTCTCAGATGCTTTAGAGTACACGCCCCTAATAAATAATTTTTCATTTTTTTTTTAATAATTAATTGTATTCGAATAAATATGAAGGGCAAAATAAATAAAACATACCCCATAAAAGCAATAAACATATTTTGTAAAATGGTTACTAAAAGAA